AACTTTGTTATCCAGAAGGTTCCAGGAGGCGAAAGGACACCATATGAAAAATATATTCAGCAAATAGTAAGTTTCTATATTATTTCGAGCAAAACCTTTAAAACAAATCTCAAACTTACCAAAAAATTTTACAAAACGCCTTAAAATTTCCCTTATATCTCTATACTTAACTTAGCAACACTTGTAACATATACTTATTTTTGACAATGGGTAAAAGATTTGCTGCTGACTTCTAGAAAGAATACTACAAAGAAATATCCCAAATACTACCTTCGCCACCACCCTATCCCTTATGCCGCCATTGAAAATGAAAATAATGGCTCAGGCTGAAGAAGAAGAAGAAGAAGAAAAAAATATGAGGCAACAGAGACTCTGATGTTAAACGCAGCTTTCAAATTTGCAGATGAGGGGTCCATGAAATTTTACACAGTGTTAGTTTCAAATCTGAATCTTAACTCTAAACCCATTGCTCTTTCTTTTCACTATTCCCCTCTACCTCTCAGCAAACCAAAATAAATTCCTTTTGTTACTCCTCCTACATGAAGAAAAGTCTGTCTATCTTTTAAAACAGTGATAAGGCAATACACTTTGTTGATATATATCTCCTCATCTTCTTCTTATGAGATTCCACATTTGTATCTGACCGATCTATTTCATTTTATTAGACCTAATGGTCATTGGCTCATATCTTCTCACACTGGGTACTGCTCTTATTTTATGAGCATGAGTTATATTGTATTTTACATTGTTTAATTATGTCTGTCCACTACACCATAAATTCTGTAAGAGGCAATGTTTTCTTTAATCCCAAAGAGTCCTTGGATTACTACCAGTATATAGTAACTAAATTAAGTAGTGGGTAAATTAATTTGACCCAAAATCTGAACACTGAACTTGACGTAGGGAAGAAATGGTTGACTTTTCTAATTCATTGAGAATTGTTGATTTTGAAAAGAAATACAATCCACAAGAGAAACCTATCAATATACCAAACAGGTTCAATCTGGGTGATGGAGGCAAAGTACCCCTCGAACCAAGTCGCCTGCATAATTACCACCACAACTGTACATAACGTCTTTTTCCTATCAATAGTAGGAATCCAAAGTAGTTACTGAGCATGCAGGTAGCACCATATGCAGAGGGGTTGGGGTTTTATTCAATTTGTGAAAATCTTAGTAGAAATCCCCTGACAACCTCATAGATCTTACATTAACTGGGAGGGAGAAAAGGTAATAAATGAATCAACATAGTATATAATACGATAGATAAGACACGTGCTAAATAAAGAAAAGAATTACAAAGAAAAGCAAGAAGGGGGTTAGAATGCATGTGTGTGTATTATTATTGTGTGTTAGTGGAAGGATCGAAAAAAGGTCTAGGGGTAGGTGAGGGAAACAATATATTTGAAGAAAAGACTTGAGTCTTCATCTATCGTATTATATACTATGCTGATTCATTTATTACCTTTCTCCTCCCCAGTTGAATGTAAGATCTATGAGGTCAGGGATATCTACTTAAGATTTTCACAACTGAATAAACCCCAACCCCCAGAACATGGTACATCATAGTTGCTCAGTAACTACTTTGGATTCCTACTATTGATAGGAAAGACGTCTTGTTATACAGTTGTGTGGTAATTATGCAGGCGACTTGTCTGAGGTACTTTGCCTCTCCATTTACTCACCTAGATTGAACCTGTTTGTATATTGATAGGTTTCTTGCGGATTACATTTCTCTTTTCATCTAAATCAACAATTCTCAATGAATTAGAAAAGTCCATTTCTTCCCTAATATCAAGTTCAGTGTTCAGATTTCCAATAAATTATCTCAATTCAATTGCTTTCATTTCCTAATTTAGTTACTATATACTGAGCTGTAGTAATCCAAGGACTTCTGGGATTAAAATGAAGAAAACATTGCCTCTTACAGAATTTATGGTGTAGTGGACAGACATAATTAAACAATAAAATACAATATAACTCATAAAATAAGAGCAGTACCCAGTGTGAGAAGAGCCAATGACCAATAGGCCCAATAAAAATGAAAATACAGGATCGAATGTCAGATACAAAATGTGGAATCTCATGGAAGGAAGATGAGAAAGATATATATCAACAAAGTGCATTGCTCCTTTATCACTGTTTTAAAAGATAGGATGACTTTTCTTCATGTAGGAGGAAAGTAACAAAAGGAATTTATTTGGTTTGCTTGAGAGGCAGGAGTGCGGGGAATAGTGAAAAGAGCAATGGGTTTAGAGTTAGAAGATCTAGATTTGAAACTAACACTGCAACTTGAATCTCTCATCTGCAAATTCTGAAAGCTGGTGCTTAACCTCAGAGTCTCTGTTACCTCGTTGGTTTACACAAGGAGGGTGGTGGTTAGGCCAGCACTAGGGATTATCTCTGTATATCCTTTCCCTGAGTTCTTAAAAGAAACTTTCTTAATCCATCAAAAATAAGCATAAACACAAGGGCCAGTTAACATGGTGATACAAGGAAATTTTTTAAGGGTTTCTGTAAAATTTTTGCTAGCCTGAGACTTGTCTTAAATAGTTCTTGGTTCTGAACAATTTTTCCAGAACCTCATCATTTGCTGAATTTTTCATATTTTCATCAACTGCTATATAACTATTCATACGTATAAGTAAAATACAGAATTGATGCCTGGATATATTCCCTTTGCATTTCTCTTTTTAGCCACTGTCCTTATTAAAGAGATCAAATCTCCCTATTTCCTCATTTCATTTGAAATTACGGTTTGAAATGAAAAGTCATTATTTAGAATGGAAAACAAATGACTACTTTTCCATTTAATTTTAAACTGACACAAGGGGATAGAAATTATTATTAAATAAAATTATTTCTTAACAATCTATATTCACTTGTCAAATGGAAGCATGCCCCTAGCTTTATAACCCCTACTGTAGGATCGGTACGTATATTTCAGAAACTCCTACACCCAGCAGCTATGCACAATATCTGAATTTTGTCTTCCCAGAAGAACTTGTTTGGATAGGTGGAACTAACTAATGTACATGTTTCTCCCCCTGTCTTATTTCTCTGTTTTTCAGCCCTTGCAACTGGACTGTGACCTCTGCGCCATAGTGTCAAACTCAGGTCAGATGGCTGGCCAGAAGGTGGGGAATGAGATAGACCAGTCATCCTGCATTTGGAGAATGAACAATGCCCCCACCAAGGGCTATGAAGAAGATGTTGGCCGCATGACAATGATTCGAGTTGTGTCCCATACCAGTGTTCCTCTTTTGCTAAAAAATCCTGACTATTTTTTCAAGGAAGCAAACGCTACTATCTATGTTATTTGGGGCCCTTTCCGCAATATGAGGAAAGACGGCAACGGCATTGTTTACAACATGTTGAAAAAGACTGTTGACATCTACCCGAATGCCCAAATTTACGTGACCACAGAGAAGCGCATGAGTTACTGTGATGGCATTTTTAAGAAGGAAACTGGGAAAGACAGGTGAGTCCTCTGAGAGGCAGCCTCATGTCTTTTGTCTAGCCTTTGTCTTTTTTGCTAGCTCCTTGCTGAGTTCTTTTGCCAGCTATCAAATGAACAGAGTTATTTTTCAAATTGATTGTTCTGTTTTCTTGACTATTATGATTACTTGATGAGCCAGCAGCTAGGCCCCATTTATTCCACCTACACTACATTCTGTTCTCTCCATTTTGATTGGCTTGAGGATCCAAAAAATACTGGATGCTTCCCCAAGATATCTTTAGATTTGTTCTTATTTAGCTCAATTTGCTATTGGTTAAATTGGATGTTAGCCGAAAGGAAGTCTACACATTTTCTGTTTCAAAACAGACATTAAGGAACTTTAGGACCTAAACTCCTTTGGAAGTTGTGGTAAAAATTTACCTGAGACTACAAGACAGAACAGGCTATTGATTGTCTAATAAGGTTGCACGGCTTCTTGCATGCAAATAGACCCTATGATCGTGAGCACCATAACTTGGTATCTAACAGATATGTTAGTATGTTCAGCAGAATACCATATTGAAATTATGCATTACTGAAAATCATTAACAGTGGATTCTTGAAGAGAAATGAGGTATAAATACCATTTACTCAATTATCCAACAAACCAATTTGCATTTTTCATTACATCCATTTTTTTTTCCGTAGCCTTCTGTAAAACACCCTTCCCACTTCTTTGTCCTGAGGCCTATTCACCTCATTTTTCTCCTACTCCTTACATCTCCCGTTTCCTCTCTCTGCTCCCTCTTATTCCCCTTTCCCATATGACTCTACTGCCTACCATTTTTTTTTCTTTCTTTTGAGAAAGGCAACCAGTGTATGAGAGAGAAGTAGAATTATTAGTTCACATTTCTCATTCTAATAAAGAGCCACTGAAGGAAAATATTGAAAACAATTGCAAGAGTTTTAAGTCATGTGTGAATCTTACTTATTCATGTAATACCGTGGATAAATTGAGCATTGGCTGTAATTCCAATATTAACATTCTGATTTCCTCAAAATGTATCTTTCACTGTTTAATACTATCAAATCTAAGTTTTTAATTACACTGGGGTATGTGCTTGTGGGGGGAAGTTTCTGATATCTCTAGGTGTAATTTGTATGCTGATAATTATTTTAAAACCTTATCTGGACCAATTCTCCTATTGATAATGTAAGTTGAACATAGCATTTTCTATTTCTGAGCACCCAAAATGCACAGCTTCTAATGAATTGCAAGGCAGGAATAACCATAATGCTGGCCCTTTTCCCTGTTAGAGTTTTAAAAAAGAATCCCAATTGTTAGATTTGAATCAGTGTGGAATAAGCGTTCCAAAGAGATAGGCAGGATAAAGGAGTAGGTATGTAGCACAATTCTATATAAATATGACCATCTCAAGGGGGTTGGAAATTTCTGGTCTCTCATTAGCCCAGAGCAATGCAATTAATTAGATATATTTGGTATTTCATTAGTCATAGTCAGCCCTCAGGGTATCCCCCAGTCATAACTATATGCCCTAGAATCATTTGGGGCTATCAGAGAAGCACTCAGCATGCCGTATGCTCCTGTGTATTTATATCATGTTGGCTTTTGCTGTGAGCTTTCAGTGAGACGGCACATTGTCAAAGATATGTGGATTGTACAGCAAGCATTGGGAGAGAATAGCTTTGGAGGATTCATTTTCCTAGTGGCTGTGATGAGAAAAGCTATTTGTATAGTAGGAAAGAGCTTGCTTGGTCAAATTAATGTCCAGGTATCATTCATTTGGTAAAGTTACCAAAATAAAAGTAGGGAGGAAGAAAGCCAAATTGATTTTATAATGCTTCCTTCTGTTTTCCTCACCGAGTCTATTCATGTCTGGTTGCATCATAGAGTCCTGCAACCAGACTGAAAGAGACAACTGTGCTAGTATTTGAGAAATGAGCAGAATGGATGGTTTTGGTAAAATCTGGTTGGATGGCAAAAGGTTGACCAACATGACTTCAAAGGCTGTTATGTGCTCTATAATTTAAATCTGTATCCTAACTTTAGCTGTGTGGATTTTATTGTCTAAGGATTTCCCATAGTGATCTGATGTTCATTGCAAAATTTCAAACAAGGATTTTTTTTAACATTTTATGAAGGAAAATGTCAAAATTATAAAGTAGAGAGACTAGTGGTGTAATGAACCTCTGTATACGCACTGTTTGGGTTGAATAACTATTAACTCGTGGCCAATATTGTTTCATCTATATCCCTACACGCCTTCTCCCTCCCCAAGGATTATTAAGAAGCAAGTGCCAGACATCATGTTATTTTGTTCAGTAACATTTCAGCATGTATCTCTAAAAGATAAAGATTCTTAAAAATAAGTACAATGCCATTGTCCTACATAAAAACCAGCAATATTTCTTTAATAACACTATATAGTTTGTTTTCAAACTTTTCCAATAATCTTATTAATATTTTTAAAATTTAATTCAGATTAGGATTAATTAGCATTAAGGTCCATACACTGTTCAAATCAGGATTAGCATAAGATCTATACGTTACAACTAATTGATATGTCCCCTATATTTCTCTTAATCAATATCTCTCTCCCCCCATTATTGAAAAAAAACTAATCATTTGTACTATACAGTATTCTACAACCTAATTTTTGCTAATTGCACCCTCCCATGGGGTTTTTTGTATATTGGTATTACTATAGTGAGGCTTTACTGGATTCAGGCCATATTTTCTTCCTACCAAGACCATTAAGTGGTACTTCTATCAGCAGGTATACTGACTGACCAGTTTTCTCCATTTACGTTAGCAGTCATTAACGATCATTGTCTAGATTCAGTAGTTCATTAGAGGTTGTGAAATGGTGATAGTTCATGTTTTCATTTATATTAGCTGAAACTTTATAAAGAGAAACTTGTCCTTGTTAACTTTTTTTTTTAAAACAAGAGATGGAAGATAGGACCAATCCTTTTTCTTTATCAGTTCTAAGGCACTGGTTCCCTAGCATCCTCCAAGAGTGACCAGTTTATTACTATCAATGTTTACATATTGACATATATTTAACTATATTTGGAATATTTTGATTTATTAGAATTATGTCTTTACGCTCAAAGTGTCCTACTTTGTGCCATGGGAACCTCTTCAAATTAGTTTTGGAGTCCTTTTGGCATGCCTTTAGTAATTTTGGATAGCTTCTTTGATTCCTGGTATTACAGGTTGATTTAGGCTCTTCTTGTACAGATTCTGATGCAAAGCTAGATCCAGACATTTCTCCAAAGAACTTTGGTCCTTTTAGTATTTAAGAGAGCAAAATCTTGGTGCTACATGTGCGCGTTGCCACTAGGTTTGTCTCTGTTTCTTGGCCTTTTCATTGGACAAAGCTAGTGTAGAAACAATGCCTATATTGTTCAAAGATAAAATCATCATGATTTCAAACTGAAACTTCCGATTCAGATTCAGGGCTATCATGTTTTAATTTTACCTCATGTATCTTACATGTGTTTCTCCTTTTTGCCATGTTGGCAATCACAGGTCCTAGAGACACCAATGTAATTACTCATTTGTTTCATTCCACAACATACACACAACACTCTTAGAATAACATCACAACCAGCAATATTATTAGTCAGCATTTTCAGATTCTTTTACATCAAAGAAGACGCATTAATGCCAAGCATTCATGGGGGTCCATGCTCACAAAATGTGTGTTACTTATACCCTAACAAAAGTTTTAAATATTTTTCTCCTAAGTAAATAGGAATGTGGCCAGTGGATATGTCATTGCAGACATGAGGGAGTAATGAAGAAGGACCTCAGTTTAATTTGACTTTTGTTGTACAGCTATTTTGGTTGATTTGCCTGAACTTACTGGAACTTTTTAGCAAGTGCTCATTTTCTTCATCAGGTTTTTAACGGAGAGGTTATGTCACCATTATGATGTATAATTTATAGAATCTAAAAAAATTGTGTCCCTAGTAGTTAAAATGATTCATGGTAGGAAAATGACTAAGTGGAGTTTCTCAAAGAAAAAATTTGACTCTCAGCTTGCTTCTTCAAATTGTCAGAATCTTTTTAAAGAAGTATAAACCTCTCTCCCACGTAAGGTGGGCATCTTTTCATTTTGTCCACTGCTTTTCTTTTTTTTTTAAATTTGTCTTAAGGGATTCTTCATTGTGGAAACATGAAGTAGTAAAAGAAATGTATATATTGTTAAGTTTCTTAGAATAAGTTTAGACCAACTCATAAGCATATTGGAATACTTTTTTCTTTTTTTTTTTTTTTTTCAACGTTTTTTTATTTTTGGGACAGAGAGAGACAAAGCATGAACGGGGGAGGGGCAGAGCGAGAGGGAGACACAGAATCGGAAACAGGCTCCAGGCTCTGAGCCATCAGCCCAGAGCCCGATGCGGGGCTCAAACTCACGGACCGCGAGATCGTGACCTGGCTGAAGTCGGACGCTTAACCGACTGCGCCACCCAGGCGCCCCTGGAATACTTTTTTCAAACCAAATGAAATTTAATTTGCTTTCTTATCAGTTACTGACTAAAATTATTTGGCTTGTCACTTAGAAAGAGTGACCTTATGGGAAAGGCTGAGAAAAAGAAAGAGAAGGCAGCTTGTCTTTTCTCTCTTCATCTTCTGGGGCCCAGTTTTCTTTGGAATTCTAGGTCTTTCGGACAGTGGTCACCTTTACATTTTCACTTAACCAAATATTTTTCTAGGAAACAACCTTCAACAAACCAGAAAACTTTGGAATTAAAGGTCTTATATTCAAAATAAACTGGACCCAAATGGATCTTTCTTCCCTCTTTGAATGATTGGTATGCATAAATAACATTAGCCTACTGACATTTACACATTTGCATTAATACATCTTAAGACTGAAATACCCTCGAGGTGATGTCAGGCTGACAGTGGCACATGGCGCCACACTCAGCATCTGAAGAATGCGATTATGTGCCTGGCCATGTACTGACACAAAATGAATGTGAACTCTCCTGGAGAAGCAGTAGAGAGC